AAATTATCTGAAAGTGAAATCTACAACGTCTAGCCAAGAAGTCAGGTCCCAGGTCCAAGAATCTACATTGTAGCTAGCCCTGTAGAAATGGCCTGTTTCCAACGCCATTCTGTAATGTATTTTGAATGCGGTGATTCCAGAGGAATTTCGGGGCTATTCTGTCTTTAATGAGCGTGATGAGGATCTCCAAAGACAACCAGGAAAGACAACTGGCTTTACTCCATCTTTCAAGGGGACGTCTTACGGAGCGGGATATCATTTTAGCTCGAGCTGGTATGTTTGACTTGGACGTATCCGTCGCGAAAGGCATGAAAGTCTGTGCAAAACATCGACATAGACTCAGTAAATTTTGGAGACCCAGTACTTCCTGCCTCTACATGAAGGCAAACCAGGAAAAAAAGGCTCCAAAAGTAGGTATACCCGTTTAGCCTTGACATGTCCAAGGCAATTCAGCGAATGCTCGGAATCTTTGTGCCGATTGGTTCAGGTAAGGGTTGTCAAGAAGAATACGTAGAGGGAGTGAAGAAAAAAATGAAGTGATGAAAAACGTTTATGACTGTTTGAATTTGTGCAATTTTCAGTTCACGAACAATGCAAATTAGGTGAAGAAGGTGGTCTTGAGATTATGGGGCGTAAAAAAATTATTTTGACGAATTTCGAAAAAAGAAAGCCACTGTGATTACATACTTATAATTGCCTTTTGATGGTAGGAGTTTGAGAGAAATTTATTTTCTGACCCGAAATGCAGTAGACCGCTTTTACAGAGACTGCCTCTTAAGTTTGTTCACTCAAACCAGCTATCACCAGCGTGTAGTAAATTAATTATTTTCACTTGACAAACAAACATTACCAAGCATGTCAAACAAAGTTGGTGATAATTGCAAATTCAATTGAAACCATAAGGCAGCATGAAGTTTTAACAATAAAACAATTTTGGTATTTATATTGCATTCATTTTTTTTGTCCAACTAGTATGGTACTACCAGAAACCTATAAGGGACTTGAAACGTGTAACGCCCATACATTTCTTTAGTGCCAAGCGTCGGAATATTCAAAGCTCATTAAAAATTCGAAAACGAACGTTATGACATATTTGGAAAATTCGGTCGGTGAATAAGAGATTTAAGGCCCGTTCTGATTGGCTATAGGGTAAATTTAATTGTTCCAAATAAGGTCAAATAAGGCGAATTAGATTTGAATATTCCAACGGTTGGCACATCGTTACACGTTTCAAGTCCCTTATAGGTTTCTG